GGGGAGGGGGGGGGGGGGGGGTTGAAAATTTGTAACGAAATGTAACATAAGGGGGGGGGGGGTGTCAAGAAGTATGTAACGTTCCAACTGTCGTCTGTCTTTTAAAAAAAAGTTCACAAAAATTCACACCAAAAACATTTTTTCAAATTTTCCACCTTTTTAATGATAAAATAAATTATGAACGTTCAGGGGGGGGGGGTTGTGAGTTGTAACATATTGTAACAAGGGGGGGAGGGGGGGATGAAAAAAGTCGTTTTTTTGCGTAACGTAATAAGTGAACGACCCCAAAGGTGATTTGCTGATTCTGGAATTTGATTTTTTTGGGAATATTATGTCAATTTGTAGATGATGGGATATTCTTAATCTGCAAAGTTGACGATTTATTGATTTTACGAAACATTTTGCACTTTAATTTATGTTTAATACTGATGACTAAACAAATTGAAATAGAATTGACTTTCTTTAAAAATCAGAACATCCTCAACTTTGCAATACATTCTTCAACATTTCTTAGGAAATGTAACAAGAAACGACAACTAGAACGAACAGCCTTTTGAGAGGATAAAAAAAAAGTTGGAATCTTAACAAGAAAAATGAAATCTTATTGTGTATGAAGGAATCCATCCATCTTCCCCTCGAGTGGACCTCAATGAGAGAGACAGAATTCTTTCATCAGATTTAAGTCCTTTTCATGTGGATGTGAAGTTGTTAAGATGATGTGTCGTTGATTTTGATTCAGTTTGGGATCTTTGGTTACTTTAATTGAGACTCAACCATGAGCTCTAGCAGATAGTCTTCATTTGCTCTACCATTCTTAGTTGCACAACCTAATCATTGAAACTTTGAGTTTTCTGCATCTTATTCTCGGAAATCCGCAAAAAATCGCCGTAATAAACCCACACTCGATAATCTTCGTACTTCCTTTCGCCTTTCAATCTGCCTCGTACGTGAATTGAAAGGTGAATAGGATTTGCATAAATTTTCGTACTTCTTCTTCCGTCAAACCTAAATACTTTATTTCGTAAAGCGATTAAAAATCGATAACTTCTGTCCATAAGCTTCATCTGAATTGTTAGCTTAAGGACATGAAGAAAAATGTATCACATTATAAATTATTTTTTGGATTAAAGTACCTTAAAAATTTATAGCATGGGTTTTCTTATCTGATTTGCATTATCAGGCATTGTATATGCCGAAGTTTCGGTTCTCTCAATTTTTTTGGTGAATACACGGAACAGGAAGAAGCAAAAAGCAAAAAAATGAAAGATTTATAATACACGAATGTCGTGATTTATTGCAAATGTAAATCTAACAGGCACTCTAGTGCTATAGATCTGTGTGCGTGTAAAGGAAATTATGATTACGACACAATAATGATGTTGAAGCGACACATTGAGTATTTTTTTTTCTTCTTTCCTTCCTTTTGTTATTTGATATTTATGTACTGCTCATGATTCCATAGTGAATATTGAAGAATGCTCATCATTTCCATAGTCTCCGCTTCTCTTGGGGATTTGAATATACCAAGACGTAAAGAAAGAAGGATTATTTAATGGTCATTGAATATTCTGATCCAAAGAAAACCCTCATAATTCTTCTTATTCCATTTAGTTCTTCGTTATTCAGTAAAATGCCCTCAAACTAGAACAACAACAATAACCTTACTTTATACTCTTTTTACTAAGAGATTCACGTTCATCCCACTAAAACAGGAATAAGAATAACATTGCCACGAGACATAAAATGTAAATATTTTCAGAGTTGTTTTGTTTTGAATACTTTTTCTACATCTTATGGTCACCTGATACGGATTAGCGATCTTGACATTTGGAAATTTCAGTTTAAGATTAGGACCTTTAGTTCCATAATTCCTTACTAGCATCTCAAGGCAGCATGGATATAGCTTAAGCTTACAAAATACAGCAGACTATTTTGATAACTGATAATAGATAACATACTAGACATCCAGACACTCCCAAAAAAAGCTCCCATACACACCTCTGCTCACATGTACATAACGCTACATAAGAAATAATTCCGAAACTTGGTTGTCAGATGATGAGAATCTTGATGGTTATTTAAAAGCAAGTCATTAGGAAATCGCAATAATGTTTTTTTCAGGTATAATTTAGCTGTTGCATTAGAGATTATCATTTATCCTACCATTCAGTGTCTTCTTTTACTACACGTTTTATTTTTATTCACCCAAACAAATTACTGAAAGGAATATTTGGGCAGTTTTGTGTGGAAGGACAAGGAACAAGAAAAAAAAATATTTAAAAACAGAGAATTGCCTTTTTGTTGTTCACATTAAGCAAGTATAATAATAAAGTCTTTGTTTATATTCATGAGATTTTTATAAAGCTACTTCCCCGAAAATCACGAAGCTTTTTCTTCTTTATAATTTTATTATTTTTACTCATTTTACTTTTCGTGCCCTTTACGAATTAAACAAGTATAAAAGTGTCATCAGAAGTTATTGCAGACATTTTCATGGCTTTAAAGTTTTATTGTTGCTTGTTTGTTACGATTAAAGCAATTTAGAATGAGATATGTTTATTTTGGAAGATTTAAGGCGAGACGATAAAGGTTGACTGCGGTATTTTGGACTTGAAATGCTTTAGAATTAAATTTAATTCTGATTCCAGAATTAACGCTAATGGGGAATGTACAACAATGTCAATAAGCTGTTAAAAGCTACACAATGCAAACTTACAATAACGTTTCATCCAGAAAACAATTTAAAATTCAAACTTTAGAAACATCCAAAATCGAATTAAGGACTTGAATAATTCCATTAAGATCTTTTAAAGTAATTAATGTTTCATCTAATAAATCACCAATAAAGCTCTTCACAATTATTAAATTATTCAAAAATGCATACCAATTCACAGAAATCATCTCAGATGAAGAATTAAGTCAAAGCGAGCAGATCTGCTTGAAGTATATTCGCAAAAAGTGATTTAAAATCTAATATATGGAAGTGCTTAGCATTCGAAATGGAGCAAAAAAAGTTTCAATTTAATTTTTTTCCCATACTTACATCAGACGTGAAGATAAATACAACAATCGATTCTAAAGCTCGACATAGAGCAAGAAAAGAAAGTACGGAAAAGCTTTTTAAATGCAAAACACTTTCAGACAGTTTTGTTTTTAAACAACTCGTAAACTTTTCAAATCTTTCTCATGTTTAGTGACTGAATGATGCATGAAAAGTTTCATAAAAAGGAATTTGTTCTGTAAGAGCTTCTATGTGGGTTGATATCTGCTAGATTAAATTCCTGAAACATATTTTTAGAATATTGTCAAATGATTGATACTGCTGTATATTGTTTATAGATGATGAATCTGTCATTGTTGTCTCAGATAAGAATCTTGATAAATTTGTATTCAGTTATATCTGTTGATGTTGGTTTGGATTCTTTAACCTTTTTTGAGGTGAAATTTTGCATTTTCAAATGACATTTAAATGAATCTGCATAGTAATTGATGGAACTGAATGAATTGATGTTGTTATTACCTACATACTTTTATGAAGGATAACAAAAGTCTTTAAGGTTTGTGTTTAAAGCTTAGTCGAATCTGTTGTATCTTTGGTTCGATTCCTAATAGTCATTTTCAAATCTAAGCAAAATAAGAAATCAGTTCCTCACCAATCACATTGAATCGAAATTTACATACCTACTTAGCAGTATGAAGAGAAAAGCGTACTTCCAATATTTATGCACGAAGAATTTTCCTTTTTCAATCCATATTTTATTTTAAACTTAAATAAGGACAGGAAATTCTTAATGGTACCGGCATGTAAAAAATTGTATGCTTTTGAATTCGATGTTGAACTTTTCATGCTTGTAGCAATTTTGTAACCTTCCATTTCAACTGAACTTGCTACTGCTTTTATGCCAAAGCAATTTTCAGAAGCGCGGTTGCGAAATTTTCAATTTTTTATTTCTTATTTTCTCACATAAAGTAAGTGGATGTCACTTCTTACCATTCAAAGCATCCACCTTTATTCAAAATTAAAAAAATTCCTTAAGCATGATGGCAGGTTGCTGCATTTTTGATGAAAATATTAGAAATTCTCTGTCTTCTGCAGATATTAATATTTTTTTAAAGTATTTCCTCTGATGATTTAATGTTAAAATGCTGAATCTTCCAGCACACAGATTTTTCGCATAATTTTCATAAAAGATGATTTATTGTGGAACTGGAGATAGAATTTTTACACCAAAGATTTCATCCGAAATGATTTTCATTGTTACTTTATCACTGTATGTGCATACCTAGTAGTTAAGAAGCTAGAATATGTTTTGAAACAGGAAGAAAAGTTGTGGTGCTTAAATTTAATGCTATTTTCTGAAGCTTTTTTATTATTGACCTTTGACAGGACTTTCAGTCAGCTACTATTTCACTAATTTAACTACTTTTGTCACATAATAACCTAAGGCAATACATACATCCGTACGTCCCTATAAGGCACAGTAATTCTGCAGCACATTCAACCTGCTGACAAAAGACATGACATTTCCATGGTTTAAAGTTTTATAAACAAAATATTGAAGCTCTATGACAACCGACAAAGATATTAAGAACCATAAGCAATTGTGAATAGTGCGACAGAAGTAATTGCGATGATAAAAATATGCTGCTTCCGTGAAAACAGAAGACGAGCATAAAAATAATTGAAAATATGATGAAAGTTGGTAATGTGGATTGGAACAAAAGAGTTGAGAATAAATTACAAATTGTAATTTTCATGTTTATTTCCACTGAATGGTTTTTGAAAGTTCCATGACTTTTTTTTTCCTGTAATAAGAATAGACGAGAATAGGAAAAATATTTGCAATGCTTGTGACTTATGAGGAAAAGAAGAGAGAAAATTATGTCTAATGGATTTCCGTTTTCATTTTTCTGATAACAATGAAAAATATGCCTGTATTGTTACATTTTTAAAGAACTTCATATTCATTATACTTGTGTACATTAAGAAATTTTTTACTAGCTAGGTACTTAAAAAAAATCTCATTTTATGAGCTTGATAGGCTGATTAAAGTTGCAGAATTCTCAGCTAATTCAGCTATTGATACACGGCCTCGTTGTCGAATGAATTTAGCTACAGCCTTTAATTCCTCTTCTGAGATATAAATGAATTTACCTCGGTCGTCAATCACACCACTAAGACGATTTTCTTTCTGTAAATCTATAATTCTGTCAATAGCTGCTTGAGTCTTTAATTTGAAATTTGCTGCTAAATCCTCTAAAACAACAACTTTGTTTGTCTTGATATAATCGATAAAGTTTTTCAACAATTCATCTTGATCGTTTTCTTCCTCATCAAAACCTTCTTCTTGGACCTCAAATTGTGCCTTCATTTTCAAGTATTCTTCATTTTCACGGCGCTCACGTTCTTCCTGCTCTTTGCGTTCTTGTTCAAGACGTTTTTTCTCCTCTAAGGCTTCTTTTTCTTCCTGCTTTTTACGTTCTTCGTCGACGAGTGCTAAATGATAAAATAAAATTGATTATTACATTTATTTTGCTATGTTTTTACAGGCATGAATTATTTTTGGAATCGAACGATATTGGAAGTTTTCAAACATTAAAATTCTCAATCTGTTATATCTAGGAATTCTTCTTTAAATACAAAGTTATTGATTAATATTACGTACCATCTTTCTTTTTTTGTTCCTCGCGAGCCTTCAATTCTGCCTCACGTTGTGCCTTCTTTTCAGCTTTTGCTTCAAGTTTTGCACGCTTTTTTGCTCCCATTTTCTCATCAATTAAAGTATTGGTATTTTCATTATCAGAATCTTGCTCCTCAGCATCTACATTTTGTTGCTGTTGTTGTAATGGCTGTTGATGTTCTGCTGCTCTTACGCGATTTCTTCCTTGACCCCTTTGTAATTGATTAGCTCGTGCTGCTGGTTGCTGTTGTTGCTTTTGCTCATTTTGTGGTGCTTCTAGAGAAAAATAAGGGAATTAATAAGTATTGGAACTTTAAATTGCAAGTCTACTGGATCTTTATTTGTTGAATAATTAAGTTATGTATATATTGATCGTAGGAATCTGATTATTATTGTAAATATTGTTATCGTGAAAAGAAGTTTTTTTAAAGTTAAGAATTCCATTTTTGCTATTCTGCAAGGATTAAAATAAAGAATACATTATTTTAATGATCCAAGAGGTTATGGGCCTTATCGCAATGAAGTTTGAAGAAGAAGAATCTGCCATGTGCTAGCGATTGAACTGCGGGAATTATCGTGTCTGGGCACTTCGAATGAAGATGATTTTGATCAAGGAAGATCTATGGGATGTATTGACTCGGGTGCTTCGTCTCACATGACCAACAGTAAGTCATTTTTAATTAATTTTGATGAAAGTTTTACGGGTACGGTTACCGTTGCTAATGGTGAGAAGGTTGAGTACATAGGACGAGGGGATGTTCGTATGAATGTATTTGTGAGAAACAAAAGCTATAGTGTAGATCTGACTGACGTACTTCTGGTGCCATGCATTGACAGTAATTTGATCTCTGTCTCAAAGCTCTGTAATAAGGGCTATAAAACTATTTTCGATTCAACTGGCTGTTACTTTAAAGTAGAAGGTGTGGAACAATTGTAGATTGCTGAGAAATCAGGCGATATGTATGTTGTAAGAGCTGAAGTTGAAAGATCATGCTTGGTTAATGAGAGAGTGGATAGATGCTGTGTACATGAATGGCATCGAAAATTAGCTCACAGAAATTTGCATGATATACTCGCAATGAAGGATAAAGGTTTGAAAATTGCCGATTGTGATTGCTCAAATGTGTGTGAATCATGCATTGTAAAGAAAATTTCAAGAAATCCATTTCCAAAGAAGGCAACACCTGTTGAAAATACACTTGATTGCATAGTCAGTGATATTTGTGGCCCTTTGCCAACTACCTCTGTTGGAGGTTTTCGATATTTTGCAACATTCACAATTTCATTGGCGCTTATGTGATGATTCCTCATCAGAAGCGAAAGAAGTTAGATCCCAAGGCTGAAAAGCTGGCATTCGTGGGATATGACGGATGGTCGAAAGCATATCGACTTGCAAATGTGAAACAACGCAAGATAGTTGTGTCACGTGATGTTGTGTTTCTAAAAGAAAAGTTCATGAAGATAAGTCAGAATTCATCTCATAAAATGAAGAGAACTAGCGGTGATTTGGTGCCGTTCCCGTTTTCGTCTGGTTCTACAATTGATGTTCAAACATTCAATGATTCTGAATTGTTTTATGATGCTGCAGACTCTCAAGATGAAAATGAGGTAGAACATGGAGAATTTGAGAATGACCAAAGTCAGGAAATCGTCGTTGATCATAATTTAATGAATGATCAAAACGTTTCGGTTCAGGAGGATAATGAAAGAAGTGATGAAATCAGAGTATCAAGTAGAAGAAATAAAGGACAAAAACCAGAACGTCTTGGTGATTTTGTGGCTTATTCATCAAGAGTTGATTTTGAGCCTAAGACACTCAAACAGGCTATGAGTTGTGTTGATGCTAATAAGTGGAAAAAAGCTATGGAAGACGAGATTAAGTCCATTAATCAAAATAAAACCCGGGATCTTGTGAAATTGCCAAAGAATAAACGTGCAATAGGTTGTAAATGGGTTTACAAGCTTAAGCGAGATGATAATGGCCAGGTGTGTTCATATAAAGCAAGATTAGTTGCTCAAGGATTTTCCCAGAAGTATGGTGAAGACTATGATGAAGTGTTTGCACCAGTGGCTCGATCAGCAACATTTAGGATTCTTATTTCGATAGCTGGTGTTAATAATTATCATGTTAAGCAATTTGATATTAAGACTGCATTTTTGAATGGCGATATCGAGGAGGAGATATAAATGAAGCAACCACCTGGATTTGAGAAGGGAAATGATGCTTGCAAGTTAAGAAAAAGCCTTTATGGATTAAAGCAAGCAGCAAGAGCATGGAATAAAATTTATCATGAAGCAGTGATTGGTTTTGGATTTAAGCAAAGCGAAGTTGATAAATGTCTGTATAGCATGAAGAAAGGAAATGATACTTGCTATATGATTGTTCACGTCGATGACATTCTAGTCGCATCGAATAATGAAAAACTGATAGAACAATTTAAAAATCACATTGCAAGCCTTTTTGAAGTAAAAGATATGGGAAGTGTAAAGCACTTTTTAGGAATTGATGTGAAACGCGATAAAGATGAAATTTTCATATAAGTCAGAAACAATACATTGAGAAGATTGTGGAAGAAGTTCGACTTAATGATGGAAAATTTTCAAAATATCCTTCGATGACTGGCTATTTTAGGTATCATGATGAGAATTATTTAGAATCAAATAATGAGTATAGAAAACTCATTGGTAAACTGTTGTATGTTAGCACAAATACAAGACCTGATATCGCTGCATCTGTTGGAATATTGAGTCAAAAGATTTCAAAACCAACAAAGACCGATTTGATAGAAGCGAGGAGAATTATTCGCTATATGAATGGTACCAAGAATCTAAGTTTGATGTTAAGTGATAAGAAAAAGGTTGGAGAATTGGAAGTTTATTCTGATGCAAGCTGGGCTGAAGATTCGTTGGACCGAAAATCTATCAGTGGTTTTCTTTGTGGAATTAATGGAGGTGTTGTTTCATGGTGCAGCAGAAAACAAGACGTAGTATCGTTATCATCAATGGAAGCTGAATACATCGCACTCTCAGAAAGTTGCAAAGAGCTAAAATGGGTTTAAATGTTGACCGATTCTTTTTCTGAGTTTGTCGTTCCAGATAAAGTTATTCTGTATACTGACAGTCAAAGTAGTATGAAATTGATATCTAATCAGAAATTTAGCAACAGAAGCAAACACATTGATACTAAATACCATTATGTGAAGCAATTGGTTGATTTAGGAGAGATTGAACTAAAGTATTGCAGCACTGATGTAAATATAGCTGATATGATGACCAAGCCGTTAGGAAATATTAAACTGAAGAAATTTACTGACGATTGTGGGCTGCGTTAGTAATATTAACATAATATATCCGAAGTTAATATTAAGGAGGAGTGTTGAATAATTAAGTTATGTATATATTGATCGTAGGAATCTGATTATTATTGTAAATATTGTTATCGTGAAAAGAAGTTTATTTAAAGTTAAGAATTCCATTTTTGCTATTCTGCAAGGTTTAAAATAAAGAATACATTATTTTAATTATCCAAGATCATTAGAAATATTGTTTTGCATAAAAACACCAAATATGTACAAAAGATCCAGTAAAGAATAAAGTGAAAATCATATATTTAAGCTTTTGAACTATACAGCACTTTCAGTGCAACTCAGAATTGCACCTAATTGAACAATTTTTCAATCCAAATAATAAATTTGACTGACAGCTCACATAAAACATTAATTTACTTACTTTTTGATTTATCCTTATTCCTCAAGAATAGAAGTGTCACTAGAACAATCAAAAGAGCTACGAATATCGATATTAAGTAGATTAGATCCATTCTACGTGCCTTCTCTGAACTTTCTATTTAGAATATGACAACAAACCAATTTTGATATGTAAATATTTTCAAAATAATTTCAACCGCTACAGCTTTGATGTGTAAAGATGTTAGCATAGTTTTCAAAAACATTTCAATTTTTCCGTTAAATCTTGACAGTTATAAATTTAATTACTCAATGTTTAAAAATGTCTTAATTATATACTTTAAAGGATTTTGTCAGAAAAGCGTTATATTTATAATCGTAGCTGCATACGAGGATTGTTTAACTTGTTATGTGGATATTTCATTTTACACTCAAAAGATGGCATAGATATCAAAAATATTTTGACTGTTAAAATTAAATTATTAATTGCTTAAGAACATGAAATTATGAGAATACAGTATAATTTTGTTGAGTAGGTGCTAATTATCTACTGAAACATCCTCAATTTTCAGTCTCGAATATCAAATAGTATGTCAAATGATTAAAAAAACTAATTTTATTCAGACTTACGCCACCTTATATTCGAAAAAATTCGAAATGTCTTCGAAATTAATGTCGAAAACTTCGAAATTTGAGACGAAAATTTGAATTTTTATTGACCGTTAAGAAAAATGTAAACAAATCAAAAAATTTAAAATCAAAATCAATGATTTAAGCTTCTTTTAACAATGATTTAACTAAATTAACATAATCTTAATTATGTTTCATCACTATTAAATAGTTCACATTAGAAAAAAGAGCTTCAATTAACAATTAATTAACAAATTTATAATTCGTGAAAAAATTCACTAACACAATTACAACTTTTGTTTACTTTTGATATTTTTGTTCTGAAAATTTTTAAAATCACCAATTCTTGCATTTACTTAAGCATTTTCAGTTCAAAAACATTAAAAATATGTCAAAGATTATTTATTTTAAAGAACTAAACAGTTAAAAGCTTCGAATTATGTTGAATAAAGTTTTTTTCCAACGGTTAAAAAAGATTCAAAATGTTTGAAAAAAATCGGTAAAACTTCTGTAACTGACAATCTTTAACGTGACGTTAGTCTGATTTTATTTATTTTCATCATAATTTCAGTTATCTATCACAAAATTATACATGTTCAATTGCTTAAGTAGAGTCATATTAATTTTTTAAAAAACTGTGCATTTTTGGAATTTTAAAAATTGATATTGTAGTTCCAACACTAGTCATTGATAATGATTGATTATAAGATAAGATCTTAATCGTGAAATAATTTAAAAACATTATTAGCAGACTACCGCCATTCCATTTTCGAAAACTTCAAAATTACTTCGAAATTAATTTCTGGGCTGTTCACTTATTACGTAACGCGAAAAAATGACTTCTTAGACCCCCCCCCCCCCCTCGTAACAAAATTTGTATGAAAAAAAAATTTCTTTGTTTGAACCGTAACAAAATCTTAGACCCCCCTCCCCCAAAAGCGTTACGTAATAAGTGAATGGCCCCATAATGTAAACAAATAAATCCCTTGAGACATTTTAAACAATAAAATCACTTAAAAAGTAATTAATAAATACAAAAATGAGCAAGTGCGCAGTCTTTAATTGTGAAAACAAACGAAAGGATGGAAAAGCATTATTTCGAATGCCTTTAAAACCTTCTCCAATATTTCTTTCATTTTGCTACAAAATTGAATTTAATTATCGACAATGTGATTCAGTTGATAGAAACCACTCCGCATCCCAAATTAAATCATCCTTTAAAGCAGCAGTGAAAGAAATTCCAACTAGTTTTAAACACTGCATTTTGATATTTGAAGACTTTTTTAAGGATTTTTTAAATTTTAGATTGAAATTGTCTCATCAGAAACGTTTTTTAAATCGAAAGGAGCTGTTTGCATCAAAGTTTAAATGAATAATTTGATTTAGCTTTCCTTGATTTTAACTGTAATTTTGTTTTTGAATTCAAACGGTAATTTTTTTTTGAATCATACCAAATTTTTTTTGTCCATTTTTCAAAAAATAACGGTCGTTTTCGGAATGGCGGTAGTCTGATTATTAGCTGCATTAATTGCTGCAAAGTCAAGGCATCTACATTTTTTTCATACAACTGATGTTCTGCACATGGGGCAGAAGTTTTCTAATCTAAGCCATTCATTCACGCACTTTTTATGAAATTTATGTGCACAAGGCAAAGTCCTAATATTTTGGTGTCTCTTCATTGAGTCATAACATATAATACAACGTTCATCCTCTTCATCCTTCTTTCGAGGTTTTTGTGATTTCGTGTCATATCCTGCATCTGGCAAGAAATCAGATCCTGTATAGTCAGAATATTCATATCCATGATTTCGCTCTCTATAAAACATTCCGATGATTAAAGCACCTGTAAGCATGTTTGTTTATTTCATTTATTATTGTAAGTTTAGATATAAAAAATTACCAACTGTGATTGCAATTCCAAAAGGTAGCCAAAGATTTTGAATCGGCATTATTGAATGTTTGTTGTGTTGATTGACTTTTTTTCTGTCTACTTATGTGACAAAAATAGTAAAACTACGCCACAACTTTATTAATAACTTAAAACACTAGTTTAGTCTCATAACTATTTAAATTATTATAATTTTATACTTTTTCAAGTAATCACTGGTTAAATAAGCATAAAATTCTTCGTCCTTATTGTTTAAAATATTATTTCTTAATTCTATAAAAAGCTATTTTTGTTATGATACAAGTAGAGTATATGGATAGACTATAAAGATGTTATCGACATTTGAGGGGTTTTATAGCACATTTGCAAAACAAAGACAAAGAAAGTTTGAATTTATAATCTTTTTGGTCGTTGCAGGCTGTTAACATTGTTAAAAATTAACTCTATTAATTTGATGAAATACCTATCAATTTTCAAAAAATATTAAAGAATAAGATTTTTAAAAACTTAACGTTCATTTTTCTTTTGAAAGTCTAATTTTCATCTACCCTGTTTTTTCGTTATAAGCTAGTAGCTTAGAAGAATAAAAAAGTGATTTTTTTGGATCACTAGTAGCTTAGTAACGAGTAGTAGCTTAGTAAAGAAATTGAACTTCAATGAAAATTTTGAATTTTTTAACTTAATTAAAGAAATTTTGCTATCTTCTCGATTTTATTTCATTGACAATGTCATAAGACATTGAAACTGATACTTAAAAAGTTGAAAAAGATTGATTAAACTATATTTTTGGTAGTAGCTTAGTAAAGATTACAAAAAATTTTCAAGTTCAAAAAAACTTTACTAAGCTAGTAGCTTAGTAACGAGTAGTAGCTTATAACGAAAAAACAGGGTATTTCTCAATGTTTGTAATGTTCTTGCAAATTATTCCTTAATTTCATAACTTTTGAAAACTTTTTTATTTGTTCAAACCGTTAATAATTTTTTCAAATTTTCAAAATCACCACACTAGAATGTTACATATCAAAAAGTACGAGAAGGGAACAATTTTATTAAAATTTTCAATTAAAACAGAAAGTCTCACTCCTCTTATGAATTAATATGCCAACAAAATTACCTTAAGTAATTCAGAGGCTATAGACAATCGATTGACACTCGATAGATTCAGTTAAAAACCGATTTTGAACATTTTTCAAAATATTGAAGCGCTTTCAAAAAAAAAGGCGCTTTTAAGTTCATCTCAACTTGACCGAAAAAAAATTGTCAACAAACCATTTTTATTAAATAATTCAATTTATTTGTGGAAAACGAGCATAAAACTATTTTAAATAACTGTTAATGTGTTCATAAGTGACTAGTTCACAAAGGTAATATAATTTAAAGAACTTATGCATTGAATTTACATGCTAATTTCATAATTTTGATTTTTCATAGAGCATCAAAATGTCAAACATTGATTCTGATGAGGAGCATGAAGATGATGCATTAAATAAACAATTGGCTGGATTTCTGTTTGGAAATATCGACGAAAATGGCAAGCTTGAATCAGATTTTCTCGATGAAGATGTGAAAAAACATGTTGGATCTTTGTCAAAGTAACTTTGCTTCTTCTTGTTCCTTATTTCTCCGGTTATTTATGTTTTATATTACTTATAGGTTTGGTCTACACAATATCATCAGTTCTGGATTTATTACGGATGATGAAGCTAGTGATTCTGACTCATTAGATTCGTCAGATTCCGGCGGAGCTAGACGAATGAAAAAGAGAAGACCGATAGCATCTCCAACAGATTATAAGCTCAAAAAAGATACAGCTGAAGATTTTTTTGACATCGATGAGTTGGCTGAAGAAAGTCCGAATGATAAAATAGCAATTAAAGATGATTACGATATCGAAGATGCAATTCCAGCTGCAAAAGTATCAGCAGACTTTACAAAGGACTCAAAAATCAAGATTGAAAAGAATGATGATAAAGACTTGATGCCACCACCTCCATTAGATGCTGCACCATCAATTAAGCAAGATGAGTCGAGTACAACAGATGGAAATGATTCAAGTGATGGGAATGAGTCTAGAAAGTCTGAAAAGAAATTGGATACTCCATTAGCTGCAATGCTGCCATCAAAATATGCAAATATCAATGTTACTGAGCTATTTCCTGATTTTAGACAAGATAAAGTTTTGCGATTTTCTCGACTTTTTGGTCCTGGAAAGTTTTCAAGTTTGCCACAAATTTGGAGAAGTGTTCGTAGACGAGTTAAAAAGAGGAAAAAGGAACGCGAACGTGAACGAGTCAATCCAAATTCAGCAGAATCAAATACAAGTGATTCCGATATAGATTCAAAGAAATGTAATGGATTTAATCTAAAATTTGCGCCAGTTCCTTCAAAAGATATGATCGCTTCTGATGATGAAGAAAAATTGCTCAGTGAAAAGACAAAAGATGAAAAAGAAGAGAAAAACGACGAAAATGGAAGTAGTGATCAAAAGGCAAAAACAGCAGCAGATTGGCGATTTGGTCCAGCACAAATTTGGTACGATATGTTGGATGTTCCAGAAACTGGTGAAGGATTTAATTATGGATTTAAATTAAAAGATAGATCAAAAATTAATGACGATTCCGAGGATAATCAAAGTGATCCAGATTTCCCACACGATGCTTATTTGATGGTTTCACAGCTGCATTGGGAAGATGATGTTGTTTGGGATGGAACATTAATTAAAGATAAAGTTGAACAGAAGCTTAATTCAAAAACAAACGCTGCAGGCTGGCTTCCTAGCAGTGGATCAAGGACTGCCGGTGCATTTTCACAGCCTGGAAAGTCTAATTTGCCAGGAACAATAGGTGGAAAAGACACAAAAGCTACTTTACCTATTTTAGCTAAATACAGTAAAAATCAGCTAGCAAAGCAGCAGGAAGAACACGACGACACTTGGTATTCTATATTTCCTGTTGAAAATGAGGAACTAGTCTACAGTAAATGGGAAGATGAAGTTATTTGGGATGCAGAAGGTAACGTATTTGTCAAATTTAAACCAATAATTTCTTCGAAGCATAAAATTCAAATTTTTGAAAACCGCTAAAATTCAAATTTTTCAAATCCGTTAAAAAATTATTTTTTAATTTACAGCTGTTGACAAAGTTCCAAAGCCTAAAGTGTTGACATTAGATCCAAATGACGAGAACATAATTTTGGGCATTCCTGATGACATTGATCCATCGAAAATTCAACAGAATACTGGAAATCAACCAAAAGTTAAAATTCCACATCCTCATGTTAAGAAATCAAAGATTTTGCTAGGCAAAGCTGGTGTTATTAATGTTTTAGCTGAAGATACGCCTCCACCACCTCCAAAATCACCTGATAGAGATCCATTTAATATCAGTAATGATGTTTATTATGCACCGAAAACATTCTCAATGATGGATGTTAAATTAAATACAGCTGGAAGTCTTCTACAACATAGTACGCCCGTTGTTGAGTTAAGGTCGCCATTTATTCCTACACATATGGGTCCAATGAAATTAAGAATGTTTCATCGTCAACATATGAAGAATTATTCTCATGGTGTTTTGGCATCGACTAATTATCATCCAGTTGCGCCATTACAAAAGCACATTAATAAGAAAGCTCAACAAAGGGAAGCTGAAAGAGTCGCTAGTGGTGGTGGAGATATTTTCTTTATGAGAACTCCAGAGGATTTAACTGGACGTGATGGTGAAATTATTTTGGTTGAATTTTGTGAGGAACATCCACCACTTTTGAGTCAAGTTGGAATGTGTTCTAAATTAAAGAATTATTACAAAAGAGATGCTGATAAGCCAAAAGCACCAACGGGTTTTAAATATGGAGAAACTGTTCCTGTCCCCCATCCAAGTCCATTTTTAGGCATTTTAAATCCCGGTCAGCACATTTCAGTTGTTGAAAATAACATGTTTAGAGCTCCAATTTATGAACATCAAATTCCAGTTTCTGATTTCTTGATTATTCGTACACGTAATAATTATTATGTTCGAGAAGCTGATGGATTATTTACAGCTGGTCAAGAATGTCCATTATATGAAGTTCCTGGCCCAAACAGCAAACGTGCAAATAATTTCGTTCGTGACTTTCTTCAAGTCTTTATTTATCGCTTATTCTGGAAATCACGAGATAATCCAAGGAAAATTCGTATGGATGATATTAAAAGTGCATTTCCTGCTCATTCTGAGAGTTCAATAAGAAAAAGACTTAAGCAATGTGCTGATTTTAAAAGAACTGGAATGGATTCAAATTTCTGGGTCATTAAACCTGATTTTAGATTGCCATCTGAGGAAGAAATTCGTGCAATGGTCTCGCCTGAACAATGTTGTGCATATTTTAGTATGATTAGTGCTGAACAGAGACTTAAAGATGCTGGATATGGTGAAAAATTCATTTTTGCGCAACAAGAAGACGATGATGAAGAAATGCAATTAAAAATGGACGATGAAGTAAAAGTTGCGCCTTGGAATACAACAAGAGCATATTTACAAGCTATGAGAGGACGTTGTATCCTTCAATTAAATGGTCCAGCGGATCCAACAGGTTGTGGTGAAGGATTTTCATATGTCCGAATGCCAAATAAGCCAACTCAAAATAAAGAAGAACAAGAAAGTCAACCGAAAAGAACAGTCACAGGGACAGATGCTGATCTTCGTAGGCTACCATTGAGTAATGCAAAGGCACTGTTGAGAAAATATAATGTTCCAGAAGAGGAAATTAAGAAATTATCACGTTGGGAAGTTATTGATGTAGTCAGAACTTTATCAACAGAAAAAGCAAAAGCTGGAGAAGAAGGGATGGACAAATTTAGTCGTGGAAACAGATTCTCAATAGCTGAACATCAAGAAAGGTAATTTTGATACCAAAACTTAACAAGTTCAATTTTTGAACTTTAATTTTGAATTATTTTCCGTTAATTTTCAAATTTTAAATTTCCGTTAATATTCAACAGGTACAAAGAAGAATGTCAGCGAATTTTCAACCTTCAAAATCGAGTTTTAGCTAGTGCTGAAGTATTGTCAACAGACGACGAGGAATCCGAAATTTCCGAAGAATCAGATTTGGAGGAAATGGGTAAAAATCTTGAGAATATGTTGGTCAATAAAAAGACATCATCTCAAGTGATTAAAGAACGTGAGGAATTGGAACGTCAAGAGCTTTTAAAGCTTATTGAAAGTAACCCAAAAGCTCATTCAAAGAAAAAGGATGACGATAATCAACAATCACAATCAACTCACACAACGAGAATATTGAAAATTACAAGAACTTTTAAGAACAGTGAAGGACGTGAATATACGAGAATCGAGACTGTTCGTAGGTCTGCAGTTATTGACGCATATGAGAAAATTAGAAAAACTAAGGATGATGAGTTTATTAAACGATTTGCGTCTATGGATGAAGCACAAAAAGAAGAAATGAAGCGTGAACGAAGAAGATTGCAGGAACAACTTAGAAGAATTAAAAGAAATCAGGAAAAGATTAATGCACAAGCACACGATACATCAGAAGTTTTGTCATCCAGTAGACATATTCATTCTGGAAGTTCCAGTCGAGATCCATCAGTCAGTAAGGAATCACCATTAAAAAAGAAAGTCAAATTGAAGCCAGACTTGAAATTAAAATGTGGGGCTTGTGGTGCTGTTGGGCATATGAGGACCAATAAAGCATGTCCAAAATATACAGGAATTTTGCCACCAGTTTCACCTGTACAAGTTGCAATGACTGAAGAACAAGAAGAGGAAATTGAAAAGGAACTAAATGTCGAAGATGAAGATTTAGTGAATGTTGATGGAACTAAAGTGAAATTAAGTAGCAAATTACTCAAACGACATGAAGATGTTAAGAGACGAGCTTTATTGCTTAAAGTTCCAAGAGATGCAATGGGTAAAGTCAAGAGACGACGTATGGGACTTCCAGATGAATATTGTGACTACCTACAATACAATAAAACAGCACATCGTGCACGTACAGATCCAATTGTCGTTTTATGTTCAATTCTTGAAGAAATTTTGAGTGATTTACGTGATTTGCCAGACATGCAGCCATTCATGTTTCCTGTTAATGCAAAGAAAGTTCCAGATTATTATAAAATCATTCAAAACGCAATGGATTTAACGACAATGCGTGACAAGTTGAGACAAAGAAAGTACATAACACGTGAAGAATTTTTAGCTGACATAAACTTGATTGTTGATAATTCTGCGCTTTATAATGGACCAACAAATACGATAACTATGGCTGCTAAAAGACTTTTACAAAAGTGCATTGACCGCATAGCTGAAAAGGAAGAGAAATTAATGTATTTGGAGAAAGCTATTAATCCACTTTTGGGTGATGATGATCAAGCTTCATTGTCATTTATTTTCGAGCAATTCTTGAATACAAAATTGAAAGTACGTCAGGAAAGCTTCCCATTCATGAAACCTGTAAGTCTACAAGAATTTTTGAAATTAAAATATCTCCAATACAAATTATAATGTTTGAGTTTTTGAACTTTTAAAAAACCGTTAACAATTAATTTTCCTTAAAACTCTTATTTAATTAATTTATGAATCTCTAGGTCAATAAGAAAACAATTAAAGGATACTATGATATCATCAAGAGCCCAATGGACTTGGAAACGATGACGAAGAAAGTTTCAGCACATAGATATCATTCAAGAACTGATTTTCTTAATGATTTGCATCTTATAGCTAGTAATAGTGAAAAATTCAATGGAGAAGATTCAAAATTGACAAAAGAAGCTAAAGTGCTTGTAGATTTTGCAAAATCTTCGCTAGAAGGTCTTGAAATTGGACATTTGGAAGCAAATATTGCGCAAGTTCAGGAACGAGCAAAACAATTAGAATTTAATTGGGGCGATGATGAGGAATCATTTGGACAGTTCCCATCACGTAGAACATCTAAAGACGGAGAGGATGGTGACGATACATCTAGACCTGGGCCATCAATTATTCCGCCACAACAGACTGAAGTTAAGAGATCGAGAGGCAGACCGAGAAAAAATCCTGGTGCTGGTAAGATTATATTTATCAGAACTTTATTTTTTAATTCGTTTTCTTTCTCTTTTACTAAAATTCAGCAACAAGCAAGTACGTCAAGAAGGATAAAACGAAGCCAATTGAGGAAGTCATTGATGTTGTCGGTGATTTTGGACCTACTAAATCTGAACCATTTGCAATCGATAATGAAAACTTCGGGGTTGGTTTTGATACTATGTCGCCAATGTTAATGCAACAGCCTCAAGCAGTACAGCAACAAGCAAATTTGCGTAAGAAAATAAATCTCTATAAAATTACTTTAATATTAATTAAATTTCAATATTAGCTCCAGTTCAAGATGAGAATGACAGTCAACAGGCTGCTGAAGCTATGATTCAACTTGGATACTATGCAGGACAGCAGCAACAAGATGAATCAATGGACTTTGATCCAAACTATGATCCATCAGATTTTCTATTGCGAAAAGAAACTTCAGAACAGGAACAAGTCCAACAACCAGAACAAACGCCATTTCAACAAGATGCATTTATGTATTCTGGTGGACTTCCAGTTCAAGAAGGCGCTGGGGGAGATGATCTTACTTTGCAGCAAAACTTTTATGGTGCATATGGTCAACAAGCATTTAATGTCGGAGATTATTCGTTCCAATCGCAACAAATGCAGGAAGATTATTCTCAATCACAACAAATTATTAGTGATGGTGGTGGACTTGCTGATTTAGAGATTTCTGATTCCGATGATGACGAAAATGATGAAAACAATACTTCTGAGAATCTAGCTGATACAAGCAAGGATGAGGATGGATTGTGGTTTTAATTATGTCTAGTTTATAAATTTATGTTTTTATGTTCTTTTTATTAAACAAATAAATATTTTTCATTGATAAAAAACAAGAAGGCTTTAATAATCTTTGTGATCAATCTGGAAGTGATATTTCCGATAAAATTAGCTGTAACAACCATGTGACTTTATCAACAGGTTTTGGTGGGGTTTTGAGAATGTCAGATTCAATCTATGATCGCTTCTGCTTCTCTGGTGATTTTTTAAAAATCCTTCTAAAGATCATCCTCAAAATGACAAACTTAATATATCCAAAAGCTATAAAAATAGCTAATAATGTGCAGTAGATATCAATCAAATGAAATTCGATAAAACTCAAAGCTGTACTTTGAGCCTTTAAGTGACTAGCTCCTTGATGTCTTGCTGCATATTCTGTCCAATAAACAACACTTTGTTGTGGAGTCATTGGACGGTCTTTGAAGCGTTCTGAAATTTCTACTGCATTAGATTTGTACTTTGGATTGCTGAGGAGCTCGTTTATAGATTGAGTGACTGTTTCTTCTGTGACGTCATCGAAATTAATTTGTAGTCCGTATCCTTTCATGACTGATTTTGCCATATTCAGCTGGAAATAAATGATTAAGCATAAATAATCTATGAATAACTATTAAGTTCTTAACTAACCTTTTGATCACCAAAAATCGGAATCCCAAGAATTGGAACGCCTTCAACAATAGCTTCAGTTGTTCCTAATAATCCACCATGAGTGATAAAAAGCTTTACATTTGGATGTGCGAGGATGTCTCTTTGTGGTATCCAAGATCCAATTTTGATGTTGCCAGGATTATTTGGCAAGGTTTCATTTTCATATTTCCATAAAATCTTTTGCTTAAGTTTCCCAAAAGTCCTGACAAAAGCTTCTCGCTTCTCCACTGGCCATTGTTTGCTTTGAATGAACGATCCCATAGAGAATAAAATCGCTCCGTCTGTTGCTGAATCTAAAAATTCTTGAATATCCACAGGCAATGGTTTTACTGGTTTCACATGAATGCCTGCAATTTCTACAATGTTTGGCATGCTTGGTCGAATAGTATTTGAACTGACATGGGTATTAGAGAAGAATATAGACGTGTTGAAGTAAATTTCCTCAAAGGAACGCTTGGCATTTGGAAAGTATTTGCTGTAAAGCTTCCTCTGTCTTGGCATATAATAACCCTGATAAATTCCTCTCTCGATTAATGAAAATGCTGTGTTCCAAAGTCTTTCTTTAAATGACATCCTGTCTGTATAATGGAGGAACGGATTCGGTACATATGATGTCGGCGAGTCACTATGAATAAGCAGAAAATTAAGAACCTGTTAGGCGAGAATAGCTTATTCAAACACGCGACTGACTCTGTTAATGGAATTTTATTGACACATTGCTATAAAGTTTACGTATTTGCTGGAGTCAGATTGTGACTCGAATTTTTGCAAATCATTCTGATAAAGGCACAATCATTAAAATATTTAAAATTGCTATTGATGCATATGATCAGACCACTTCAAAAATATTAAGATACCTCCTTTCTTAAAAGATGTTCGAACCTTGTGGAAATATTCCTGACTATACCCCTGACGACAATAAAGGCTCTAATTGTGTAATATTTCCAAAATACAAAATTTGATAAAAGCGCAATAAACTCAAACTGATAATTGGTCTAATTTGTTATCTAAGCTGATAGCCTAAAAGAGTTTAGGTGACGTCACTTTTAGGTCTCAAGGTCTAAACTCAAAAATTATCTTTAGATTCTACAATGTTATACAAAACCTATACATAGGCGCATATCTAACAACAAAAACAAGTCATTAGATTGTTATTAAATCGCTTTGATGACGTAGAAGCTAAACGACCTTGACAAAAATCCGAAAAAATAAATCGGAAGCAAGTTTCACATGCTTGAAGTTGAATGATTTCACAGCTGAAGCTTCAAACTCTTTTCTCACACTCTTGACCTCACACAACATAACAAATACTCACTTTCCAGTCATATCATCCGTCCATCGAACAGCGGCAAATGTTAAAAAGCTAACTATGACACAGTCAGTCTTTTCAGCAATCCCCAAAAGTGAATCGACCAAAAATGTTTCAAAGATGCAAATGTCATACTTTTGGTCTTCATTAATGAATTTTTGAACTTCTTTGTTGGCCATAAATAAATCCACAATATCTGAGTTCATTTTTGCGAGCATAAACATTACACCTACAGCTGGGAACTGCCCAAATACGAATGGATTTACCTCATGTTTATCTGTGAATTAATTTTTTATTAGCACTTGGGGAGTTTTAGGCTTCTGTCATTTACCGGACTCAAAAATTTCCAAAATTTTCGACACATCAATTTCATGATAATTTTCCCGATTTTTCTTTTGTGGATATGGTGACATGACAGTGACATCATGTCCAGCATCCACTAAACTTTCAATAATTCCATTTCCTATTGCAAAATGTGACTTGCTAGGGAATGGAATAATACCAAGAACTCTTAGTCCATTAACTTGAATAAATAATATTGATAAGGCAGCAACAACAAAATAAATAAACTTCATGATTCAACAAGAGCCACTTATAGACTGAGCTAGATTTTTGAGAGAACTTTATAATTTAAGCACTTATGAGTATAAAAATTGCTTGCTAGTGTGAAGTTTCTAACAACTTTTTTGTCTGTAGATGATCATAACAAATGCTTACATGTGTCGTTCCTGAATGTTTTTTTTTGAGAGATAAAAATTTTCTGTTATGTCTAATCGTACTCTGAGAAGTGATTGATTTGGTATGAATGAAAATTGGTTATTGTGAGTTGCTCTCTGTGTATTGTCAAGCTAGGGAAGATATGACTCAAAGTTGCTCGATTATCAATCCACAAACCAATTTTATCTTAAATCCCACAACTCTAATTTGCTGAAATCCACACAAATAAAATGTAAAAGTAAACAGACATTAAGGTATGATATCTTAGACAAGTCGCAATAAACTGTCGAGTATACAAAAAAAAGATAATTATTTCTTCTCAGCAGCAATTTTGAGAGTCACAGAACACGCATCATTTGAGTTTTGTTTTTGTTTTTATTGCCTTGACCGCGACAACGAATCAGCAGTTCTTCTTTTCTATCGTGTTATTAATATAATTGACAATTTTGCAAGTCATCGTTACTGAACACATCAATGGCATCATAAATTTACATAATTTTTTTCAAGTGATGTTCTTATTGATTCTTCTTCTTATTGCTGGATTTCTTGAATATTTTTCTGAGAATTATTTTTAGAATCTTAAACTCGATATACAGAACAATTAAAGATATTATGGCAAGGATAATGTAAACATCAAATGAGAATAGCTGAATGTAATTAAAATTTACAGATTCAGCTTGAAGATGTGCAGCTCCGTTGTGTCTTGCGACATATTCCGTCCAATACACAACTTCTTGCTGAGGGGTTCTTGGTCGATCATTAAATATTTTGGATATCTTCTTTGCCTTATCCTTGTAAACTCGATTTCTTAGTAATTCTTTTAAGGCATTTCCGAAAGTTTCTTCAGACAGATCAGGATAAAGAACCTGCAATCCATAACCTCGTGCAACAGTTTTCATCAAGTTCATCATTTGATCACCAAAAACTGGAATACCAAGAACTGGAACTCCCTCAACAATAGCCTCTGTTGTACCAAGTAATCCTCCATGAGTAATAAAAACTTTCAAGTTTGGATGTGCAAGGATGTCTCTTTGTGGGAACCAATGTCCGATTTTAATATTGCCAGGATTATCAGGCAGAGTTTCATTGCTGTATCTCCAAATAATCTTTTGTTTAAGCTTTCCGAATACCTTAATAAACATTTCCCGATGTTCCTCTTTCCAGTCTGTTCCATCAATGTACGAACCCATAGAAAATAAAATAACTCCATCAGTAGCATCGTCCATATATTTTTGTAGATCACTTGCAAGAGGTTTTGCTGGTTTCACATGAATTCCACCGATTTCAATTTGAGTTGGCATGTGGGGTCGAACGAATGATGAACTTACATGATTATTAATAAAAGTAATTGATGAGTTCTTGTACATATCGTTAAATGATCGCTTTGCATTTGGGAAATAAGAATTATAGAGGTATCTCTGCCATGGCAAGTGCAGTACATAATGAACTGTAGTTTCTAGTAATCCAACAACTGTGTTGACTAATCTTTGCTTGAAAGACATGTTATCAGTGAACCATAAAAATGGATTTGGGACATATGATGCTGGCGAGGTGCTGTTTAAGGGAATAATTTTTGATAAGCATTTATGGCATAAACATAATCAAAATATATCGTATGTGATTTTGTGATAAGGTTTATTGCTGTCCTTTTACTTACTTGCCAGATATTGTGTCTGACCAGAACAGTGCGTCATATGTGTTGTAGAAAATCAATGCACAGTTGAATTTTTCGGGTATTCCCTAAAGTTTTTGAGCACGAAACATCAGCAGAAATATTTTTTGGTAAAATGTCACTCGAAAATTCACTTACCATTAATGCCTCATTTCCAAACAGCTCCATAATGCAGACATCAAACTTTTCATCAGTTTTTAAGAAAGCATCAAGATTTTCGGACTTCATTACCAATTTAACCATGTCAGCACCAAAAGGTGGCATCATAATCACAGAAAAAAATATCGGAAAGTCGATGTACTCAAAAGGATTTGGTTCTTGGTCTAGGATTAAAATTTTATTACATTTAAAATGTCTATTGCAATCATATCCAACAACCTTGAAACTCTTTCATAACATCGGGTATCTGCACTACCCGATAATTATCACTAGGCTTATCTGGAATTAAATTTGAAATTGCTGTCACATTATGTCCTGCTTCCAACAAACTATTAACAATTGAGTTTCCAATCGCAAGATGAGATTTCATAGAAAGTGGAAGAACTGCTAAAATTTGCAAACTTAATGTCAAATTTACGGCAAAAATCAGAGCACTTAAAGCTATGAGCCACTTCATGTTCACACAATTACTGTTTTACAACTGACATGCCTAAATGAAATTTTGATTGGTATTTATCAATAAATTTGCTATCTATTAATTTTATTTGTCTAATCAGACGAGTGATAAATTCATAGATGCTGAAGGTATAATAGATTGTAGCGCATCCATTGAAGCTCTTACATTTAACAGGAACAACGGTGGTTTGTGGTGTGCTACATTATAATATAAGGATGGGAATAAAGTGTTAAAATATTGAAACAGGAAGCTAAATTAACAGTTAATGCCATTATTGAACAACTCCAAAGCTTCATCACTTGAATTATTGAAGAACCTCAAGTTCCAAATAGGAACCTTGTAAAAGCCACAATCACATTATGACTTTTCAGCCACACAGACATAAGAAAATCAATGTTACAATTGTTTCAATTGATTGGTAAAAGTACAAAGTGTGTGAATATCGATATCTTTACTTGAAGGTCCACATGTGAGCTACACGATTCTTATTTTTAATCAATTTATATTTCATGCCTTACACTCGTATTTGCTTCGTTTACATTTCGTCACCAGACATTTAATTGAATAAAAACAAGAAACTTTTACGATTTTTGATCTTTTTAGGCAAGACACAATATAAAGTTTTGCCCCTAAGGGTCACTATTGTTTAAGTTTTGAGATGATAAAGTTGTTTATTAATCTGTCTTTAATAATTTTGGATTAGAAGAGATTAAATTTTTAACAATTTTATATACTTTAAAAACTATATAAAGGATCAGTGCTCCTATCACAAAAATTAAACAATACACATCAATTAATTGTGACTGAATGGAATTTATGTTTACTGATGCTGCTTGAAGATGAGGAGCTCCACGATGTCTAGCGACATATTCTGTCCAATACACAATTTCTTCTTGTGGTGTGTTTTGTCGGTCGTTAAACCTTCTTGATATTTCAACAGCAGTAGCTTTGTATTTTGAGTTGGTTAAGAGTTCATTTAAAGCTTTACTAATACTTTCTTCTGATAAATCCTTTACCAAGACTTGTAAACCATGTCCACGAGCAATAGTCTTAGCCATATTCATAAGCTGATCTCCAAAAACAGGAATTCCAAGAAGTGGAACTCCCTCAACAATAGCCTCAGTTGTGCCTAACAACCCTCCGTGAGTGATGAAAAGCTTTACATTTGGATGTGCCAGGATGTCCCTTTGTGGAAACCAAGATCCAATTTTAATATTGCCTGGATTATTAGGTAGAGTCTCATTGCTGTATTTCCATAAAACTTTCTCTTTAATTTTTCCAAAAGCCTTTAAAAAAGCTTCGCGTTGTTCAATTTTGAAATCTGTTCCATCAATGTACGAACCCATTGTAAATAAGACAACACCTTCAGTAGCTTCATCTAAAAATGTCTGAAGATCACTTGGAAGAGGTTTTGCTGGTTTCACATGAATGCCACCAATTTCAATTTGAGTTGGCATGTGTGGACGAACGAATGATGAACTAACGTGATTATTAATAAAAGTAATTGATGAGTTCTTGTACATTTCATCAAACGATCGCTTTGCATTTGGAAAATGACGATTGTAGAGATTTCTTTGGTACGGGATGTGAATCATTTTATGTACAATTGATTCTAAGAGTCCAACAAGTGTATTGATGAGCCTTTCCTTAAAAGTCATGTTATCAGTGAACCATAAAAATGGATTTGGTGTGTACGATGCTGAAGAGTCACTGTAAATTATTAAAAAATTAAGATTTTAACAAGTTCAAGGAACTTATAATAAATTATTTTATACCCTCCTGATACTCGATCCATCCAGGTCACTGCATCAAAAGATGTATAATAGATTAAGCTACATCCAAATTTCTCTGCAATTCCCTAGTTAATTGAATCAAATTAAAAAGAATTCACAACCAACAGAGCCAACTACTCACCAACAGAGCATCCCCAGTTATCAGTTCCATAATGCAAACATCAAACTTTTTTTCACTCTTCAAAAATTCTTTCAATTCTTCAGATTTCATTGCATTATTCACTAAGTCAGATCCAAAATTTGGCATCATGATTATTGAAAATATTAAAGGTATATCTATGTACCTAAAAGGATCCGGTTCTTGTTCTAAGAAGAAAAATAATCAATCGATAAAACATCGGCTTGCCAAGGTTTATCCTACCTCTTAATACATCAACCATGTCTGGAATATGAATAGTAATAAATTTATCCTTATTCTCATCAGCTTTATAATTTGCAATTACAGTCACGTTATGATCAGCTTCCACTAAAGTATTCACTATTGTAAGTCCAATAGACTGATGAGATCTCCATGATAATGGCAAAATTGTTAAAATTTCTAAACTACAAATAAAATTTAAACTGGAAGTTAAAATAATTAATAAAATTACTCTCGTCATGTTTAATTGATTCCAGTTTTAAGACTAACTCCTAAATTATTATCAATGTGCTTTTATTGAAAAACGTGAATGCTGATAAATATCATAAGAAGTGACAATCAGTGAGTGGCTGAAGAATGATCTCCTTCATATTTGGCAATATTTGTGATATTGTAGGCGTGATTCCCATGCGTCATTAAAAGTTTTATTGAGTTTGCTTTTTGTCTGCTTTACGCTTTGAAAAAGCACATCTTATAACAGCTAATGTTATTTTAAACCAAACATAAAAAGCTACTAAAAGCACCACTAATATCGTACAATAAACATCGATTAAGTTAAATTCAATAAAATTTAAATTCACTGATGCAGCTTGAAGATGTGCAGCTCCATTGTGTCTAGCGACATATTCTGTCCAATAAATAACTTCTTCTTGTGGAGTTTTTGGACGGTCATTGAAAATTTTGGATATTCTCTTAGCATTTTCATTATATTTGGGATTGTTCAGCAGCTCATTAATCTTGTTGCTTAGATTTTCTTCTGTGATTTCGGGTACCAAAATTTGCAGTCCATATCCACGTGCTATAGTTTTTGCCATATTCATCTTTTGGTCTCCAAAAATCGGGATTCCAAGGATAGGAACGCCTTCAACAATTGCTTCTGTTGTACCAAGTAATCCTCCATGAGTAATAAATAGTTTAACATTTGGATGCGCCATCATATCTCTCTGTGGAAACCATGTTCCAATTTTTATGTTGCCAGGATTTTCTGGCAAAGTTTCATTGCTGTATCTCCACAAAACTTTCTGTTTCAACTTTCCAAATGTTTTAATAAAAGCTTCACGTTGTTCAATTTTCCAGTCTGTTCCATCAAGAAATGATCCCATCGAGAATATAATAACTCCATCAGCTGCTTCATTTAAAAATCTCTGAAATTCAATTGGAAGAGTCTTTGCTGGCTTCACATGAATTCCACCGATTTCAATTTGATTTGGCATGTGTGGACGAACAAAAGATGCACTGACATGATTATTTATAAATATTAGTGATGCATTCTTGTACATCTCATCAAATGATCGCCTAGCATTCGGAAAATATTTGTTGTATAAGTATTTTTGGAAATTAAGAGCAACAACGTTGTAGTTTAATTTGTCAATGATTGTAAATACTGAGTTCCATAGTCTTTGGGTAAATGACATTTGATCACTATAGTACAGAAATGAATGTGGAACATAGGATGATGGAGAGTCACTGGAATGAAATCAGAAAACAAAATTAGAGCAACTTTGGAATCGTCTTGAAATGAAAAATCTATCGCTTATAATAACTCCTGAAAATTAAGCTCAAAGTCTTCTGATCATTACAAAAAAACTGTATGTAAACTTACTTTCCGAGCATGTTATCTGACCATATATACGAGTCAAATGTTGTATATTGTATTATTTTACATCCTGCTTGTTCTGCTACTCCCTGAAATTAGCAAGAGATTAATCAGTTGTAACTTATAGCTATGAATATAATTACCAATAAAGCTTCACCAAGGAACAATTCCACAATGCAAATATCAAACTTTTCATCTTCTTTTAAAAATTCTATTAGTTCTGTTGATCGAAGATCTATCTCAGTAAATTGATAGCTAAAAAATGGCAAGTAAAATGAAAAAACTAATGGTGGAACACCAGCTATGTCTAATGGAGTCTTTCCAGGTGCTGAAAAAATAAAAAAAAAATTTAAGACTTTATTTCAGATTGATGTTATTGGAAGGACAAACGTTTTAAAGGTTCCAAATTCTCAGGAAGTTGAACAACTCGATAATTATTTATTGGCTTGTCAGGTTTGTATTGGGTAATTGCTGTAACATTATGACCGGCATCTAACAGACTGTTGACTATTGAATTTCCGATCAAGTAGTGCGATTTCATCGCATAGTGGAAAATTCCCAATATTTTAAGTCCACATGTCACATTTAGAAAAAATAACAATATTACTAGCACCTTCATTGATTAGAGATTTCTAGGAGTACATTGACCCAAACTGTCAATATTCGGTTTCTTTTTATTAATCAGTTTATCAATTTTGAATACTTTTTGACGAATAATAGTTTAAGCTTGTACTTTGACTACCTGTGTGACTCAGCTAATGTTATAATAACTGTAAAAAGGTTTAGTCTACTCAAGGCCTATTGTAAAACTAAAATCATCTATCGGAACTAAAATTGAGTAAGTCTCGTGAAGTTTTTTATTCGCTTTTGAGCATCTTCTCTTTTAATGTCCACAATTCAAGTTTTGAGAGAGAAATAAACAAATTATTGGTGATCGTTGCTTTATGTTATGGATATACATAAATCAAAATTCATATACAATCAGCATTCAACACAGGCATTGAGTTCGCATTGCGTTAATAATTATATGTCGAATAAACTGGTTTTTTTCAGAATCTTTTTTAATGTTTGATTTCACGTGTAGCAAGATAAGAATGATACGCAACTTTTGATAGTCAGACACAAAAATATATAAGGCAGTATAAGATTACTTGCCTTATTTGAGTTTTTGATTAGTTTCAAGATCCTTTTGACAAAATTTATTCTTAACTAATGTCTAAGCTGGTCCGTCCTAATTTAGGTAAAACTTGCCTTCTGATTTCTTAATATATCATTTGAGGCTTTTATATCTTATAGAATCCTATCAGCCAATATTCTCAACTTTATGGGAACTGTACTAGTTTATTTTATGGTTTGAATATTAACTTTATTCTTGGTATAGATTACTACTCATTGAGATACTAAGCTAGTGTTGTCCATACTTTTTTCAGCCACGGCACACCTATAAATTTTTCTTTAAAAATCATCATTTTTTATGTCGATTTTTTTTGGTTCTGCACTTCAGTATGGGATTTTAAATATTTTTCTACTGCACACCTAAGGATGTCCTACGCCACGGCATACAGTTTGGACAAAACTGTACTAAGCCATTAAATTGCAACAAAGTCATTATGATGAATACATAAAAAGTTTGCTGAATTTTCATCAATAAATGATAAAGCAAGTAACGAAGTAATTAGAGAGTTTGGCTTATATACCTCAATGACTCTCATTTCGCTATCAAAAAAAAAGAGCACCTCGTCTATCGTGAGAGATAACAACCGAACACATATGCTCGTTTTTAATATACTTCCAGACGTAATAAAGAGAACACTTTTTACTTATATTATTATTTTTTTTTTGTTGATTATCAAAAAGCAAAATCGGCAGTTAATTATGACTTTTTATGAACAATCTCTTCAGTCGTTAATTGCAGCGGGAAAAGTCATAAACGTTTTTTTGCGGTGTGATTTATATTTAAAGGTTTTAAAAATGACAGAAACTTCAGCAACGCGTAGAAATTTCTCTATTTCACGTTCTGGAAAGTTTAAGAGACGTAACAAAGATAGAGTTTCGATTACTGATCAACATTGGATAACTCCAGATATTGAATTTGAATTTGAAAGAATTATTGTAAGTTTGTAAAGTTCAAGGAAGTTGCTTTTTGATCAATTTTCTTCTAGAAATTATTCAAATTTTATTCAAGTGCCACTTGAGAATTTCCCAGTGTTGTTATCTGAGCTAGACAATATCTGTGACACGTATTCACGGATGACAATACATATTAAAGCTTTAACATAGTCAAACCAATTAGATTTTCTAGTTATCGAGAACAGGAAGGGAATTTCGATGTGTTCTTTTATAGTTTGGACTGTCAAATCCAGAAGTTGATAGATCTTATGTATCCTTCCCATTCTTACTTACTACATAAAACCCTTAAAAACCCCAAAAACTAGCTAAAAATAGAATTAATTTCAGAATTCACAGAAAGCCTCGATCGGCGGCAACGTAGAAAGTGCTAGCAGAACTCTTGGACAATGTTCTCAAAATGCTATCAACGATAAAAGTTTATTTACAACGCTAAACAGCAACGATAAGAAATCTGATAAGAACTGTGATGAAAATGCAAGCTCAAATGAATTCGTTAATACAAAGTGATATCAGCACGTAGAAACCTTTTAAGTGCCCCCAAAAAATTGAAACATTTAAAATAATATTTTTTTGGCACATAAAAATGTTAGGCATTAAGACGTGTATCATAATTTTAAATTGTACAATAAGAGAAATAATTTTAATTGTTTAAAGTTTAAGAACTTTATTATCCCCATCACGTAAACTTTTATGTGCTTTGCTCCTGTCATAAGCATGAATAAGTAAACATAAAATTTAATTAAGGTATTTTGGGAGTGAGAAAGATGAATTTTTAATTGTGAATGACCTGATGAATTGCTTGAAAGGAGGATTAAACTTAGCCCGAGCTAAACATTGTCTTTTAATGGCAGTAGATCTTACTATCAATTTCCTAATTATGTGCAGCTCGGTTTAAGTGACAACAAGTAAGAATAAACGTTAACAGCAGCATCACCAATGAAATAATAAAAAAAACAGCAAAGAACTTCCAAAAAATAAGAAAACAAAAGACGTGTTTTGTTTTCTTTCATCCATGAAGTCACTCAATGCCATACACTTAATCCCTTGTCACCTTTAATTTTGATTAACTTTTAAAAATAATAATTATGATTAGATACGACTGAAGTGCATTGTTATAGGACTCATGACCCAACAAAAAAAAAAAAATAAACAATTGTGGATGGAAAAATCGATAACATTGTTGCAAATACATTTATAGTTTTTTTGTGCTTTGTAGGAACAAAAAGAATAATACGTCATTAATATTTTTGATTGCACAATTCATCCGTATGTGTATTTATTTGTGATATAAATTATCAGACATTTTTTTATTGCTGTATATTGCATGAAAATCGGAAGAAATAATAAACATGAAATATAATTTTTTGATCGATAGCATTTTAGATTTAATGACTTTTATATTTCCTGATACCCACGTTGAGTTTCGTTAAATGAGATTGTGGGTTGGCAGGAATTATTGATGAATATTGCGTGATAAAATTCTCATGTGAGTGCTTTCAATAATTATGATTTGATGGCAGACTTTTTAAAATTGGGAATTTACAATTTTTTGCTGCAGCTTTTGGGATGTCCTAATGAGTTTTATGCTTGTCAATTGGCTTCAATTCTAATTTTAAACGGGATTTCGATTTTTGTGTCAATTCTTAACATTCATTTTTGAATTTTGAGTCGGAAAGTGTCAATGAGTTAAGTGATAGGAAACATATTGCTGAACATCAAATGCAGCGAGCTGGCTCAATTTATCTTGTTTAGAATCGATATACACTGAATTCAATCGTATCATCGAGAAGCCAAAGGTCAACCAAACTCGAGGTTTTTCCCCTCACAAATGAATATTGCAATTTTATCATTAATAGCACTAAGTGATGATAATGAATTTAATGTTAAATGGCACGCAAGTTCTAATTCATTCACCTCCTTAAAGTATAAGTGAATGACCAGATTATTCCAGCTAGCTAAGCCTTAAAAACAAACTGCAGAACTCCCGCCATATTTTCACGAAAAATAATCGATTCAAGGCATGACCTGCAAATTCTATTAATACAATAAACTTACCTTGAGAAACTCGCTGGCTATATATTTACAGCTTTCAGCATTTCCTTGTTTACAAATCGCCTCCAAACGTGCCTATAAATTAAGAATAATTGCTTCAGCACAAGGCACAAATTTCTTATAATAATTTTCAATTTTTATTTTTTTTCTTTTTCCATTTTTCATTTTTCATTTTTTTTATATATGTTCAGTAAAAAACTGTTGTATGAGGATTCATTTCATATTTATCTTCTATCCTTATTTTAAATTAATTATTTAATTAATAATCATGAGTTTGTCAATAATAATTCGTATAATATTAAATAAATTAATTGTTTAAATATTATTTTTTGAAAGGTTAATAGCTTGTTGCTGCTTTTGAACAAAAATGAACAAAAAAGGTAACTTTTCCTTATCATCTCACGCAACATTTTTTAAAAAAACGTGCGAATGCTTCACATCCTGATGATGTTTTATCATAAATTTTTAATTTCTTCATCCTTTGCTTTTTGAAATTCTGTCAGTAAAAAAAAAATTATTCGGTTCAGTAACTTTTCATAAAAAGGGTTAAAGGTTGATGTTGAATATTTTTTGAAAATATGTGAACGGAGATTCTTTTTGACTGATTAGATTTTAATGTTCATCATCATTTTTATGTGGATATACGAAAAACATTTTTTCCCTAATAATTTTCGCTTTTTTTTGTGGTAAATTTTTGCTACCTCCTTAAATATATTTTTGGAGCAGAAATAAAACCTTTTTTAAAAAAAACTCGGCATAAAGACACATTTTTAAGCTCTTTGAACGTTTTCTTCTTTCTTTTTGTACCAATTTATTTTCGAGCTTTCTTTTATTATTTACAGGAATTTTATGCAAATTTTCACAGTACTTAATTCACTCTCAGAGAGGAAGCGAGTGAGTAATGAATTTATGAGGTGAACATTTGAATAAGAATATGTGACAAAAGCATTAAAAACAGAAATGATTCATAATAGAGCAATAAATGAGAACGCTATGCTGCATTTTTTTTCTAGCTGAGTTGAATAAATTTATGACTTAAAATGAGTTTTCGTCATTAATAAAAATTATGGATTATTCTGCTAGGAATTTTTCTTCGTGCTTCCCTTAATATCCTGAGATTTGTTTTATGCTAAACTTAAAAGAGTTATAGATATGCTAAAGATGCTCGTACTATACTTTTAACTTGAAAAATCAACGAAGAATTGTTGCCAAATTTACTTTTGATGACATTTTGTTAATAAATCGAGTTTTTAAAGAATTTATAGCACTCTGGATGCCAAAATGTTTGTGACTGCATATCTAAGACCTAAATTTAATACTTTTCTATACTTTGAACTGTCCTTAAACCTTCTAGACTATAAGAAATGCCTCAAAGATTCCCTCGCAAGGAATAATAGGATGTAATATCCAGCATCCAGCATCTAAAAACCTTAAGAACTTGAGTCATTTGTCATCTAAATCAAAATTATCTAACCCAAAACTAAGATGAATATTCAAAAACTTAACAAAAATCTACCACTAATCGTCTATAAATCACACATAAAAATGATAAGAACTTAACCAATTCTCTATGTTTGTTGGATGTTCTAATAATATTATTCTATGACTAGATTTTGTTACACTTCAATATTGTAATTTCCCTAATGGATGGATTTTCTTACGTCTTTTTAGTCCTAAAAAGTTTTCTACTAAAAAAGAAAAATTTTCTGGAAACTTTTCACTGTGTACGTTTCCGAAAAGGATATCCTTATTTTCTCATTTATCAAAAAAATAATTCTTTTGTTTTTTAACAACATAAAAAAGGTCATAGGAGATTTATGTCTATGTTCATCTACAAACTATAACTTCAACTATGGTCAGATCTACAGTAAAACAGTAAAAGAACAGGAGGTTAGTCAAGTAAGTCATTTTGAATGTTCATAGAGAATTTTTTAGTAGAGAAAGATGAAGCTATTCTATAAAAGTAAAAAGGTTAGTTAAGTTTTTCTTTTGTCTTTAGTTATTTTTTCATAGATTTATCATGCATTTACTATATTAAGTAGTTTCATGAAATGAAAGGAATTACAATTGTCAAGGATAAATGGCAAAATGTAAATTTTTTTAGGAACTTCTTGTGTGATATTAATTTAATTTTAATTACATCTGGAAAATGAGCTTTTAATTTCACAAAAATATAAATTTTTATTCTCTTTTAGATCCGAATTATGAAAAAATGCTTTTTGGGTTTCAAGGGAATCTGAGACATTGAAGGTCTTTTTGGTTGTGGCTTTGAATTTGTTAATTTTTTGATTCTTTCAAATACTCTGATGGTTGCCATTTTTCAGTATAAATCTCAGATATAGACCCATTTTAGATCTCCAAACCAATCCCTTATCCCTCAATAATTATTTTTGAAGATTCCTTTCACTTTTTGCCATTGAAAAAATTTGTATAAATTTTCATTTATTGCACATCTTTAACATAATATCATGTTCATGGTTAATCCATATTTTCTTTATCACCTTATTCACTAAACCTACTTTATCATAATCCCTACCAATAAAGAGTCAAGATAATCGTAAATGAAAGATTTTTTTCCTCATTTTTAAATAAATTAAATATCACAATTACGTATCTAAACATAATATTGAAATAAAAACGTGACATGTAACAAATTTGCATTAATTTAATTTAGTTTTCTTAGAACTTAATGTCTATCATCAAAATTTAACAAAAAACACGAAACGATTCTTTTAATTGGACCAACATTTAAAAGAACATTTAATATCTTAAAAAGTAAAGTTTGGAATCTTTTTCTTTGGATTTGAAATATCTAGAAAATAGAGAAGGAATGTTTGAAGTAATAATTTACAATTACCAGAGGAACATACTCTGGAAGTTTCAAAATGATATGCTGGATAAAATAATAACAAATAGCTATAACTGTCTAATTTAACGAAAATTCAATAAAAATATCTTAGCGGCACGATTGCGTCGCTAAGGACAGTGATAGAAAGTCAATCATATGCTTACTAATAAATAAGGAAGATTCTAGTTTAAAGATTTGATCTGAAATACTAATAAAACTAATAGCCATGTTAAACAGAACCAAAAATATCACTAAAGTTGATACAGAAGTAAGAACTTGGTTAATAATCATTATCTACTTATTTATCCACACGATACAGTTTCATAATGTCTCATTCTATGTGTCTGAGTCGTGAAGTTCATTCAGTTCTAAACTCTGATCCTCTAAGCTCCTTTTAATATCCTCAATCGTTTTCATAATTAATTTTCTTTTCATATTCTCGTCGATGACACGCTTTGGAGAATCATGTGAGACACCCGCATCGGATACTCCGGCATCACTCGATGATTCACGCTCTTTTGATTTTGTTGCTAGTCTCTCGTTCCTTAACATTTGGATTTTTTGTAAAAGTGCTTTCTTTGGAAGCTCTGGGGAGTGAAAAATAAAGCAGATAAAAGAGAAAAAAAAATGTTTTATTGAGGAACACGGATATCCGAATATAAAGACATACCGTCAGAATCAAAGTCTAAAGATCTTTGAATTTTATCAATCGTCGAATTGCATGAATAAATTTTTCTTTTTAAGGGTTCACTTTGTGGAAAGAAGAGATCATCAGACTCAACATTATTGCACACGACCGAACGGAACTGTGCCATTGGTGGATTAATTTTTATTTTTATTTCTCTCGTCTTGTTTTCTTTGCCATTCATAGCTCGAGAATTATATTTAACATCTGATTCCGAGTCTGAATCGTCATGTTGCTTTGGTGCTAGAAATCTTCTTGGAGACATAATTGGTGTTGTTTTTGATGTAGAGTCACGCTTCGGTGTTATCATATCCATTTCATTTTGATAGATAAAGTTTGTTACATGAGTCTTTACGGGTGCCACGCGATTTGTTTTTGGACTTGACGGTGCTGACATGGATGTTTCATAACGTAATATTTCAAGTCTCTTATTTATGATTGTTGATGGATGTTGTGGATGTGTAAGTTGAAGCTGATTTGATGTCTTAGCAAGCTCACGTTTTAAATCAACTTCGCAGTTCCTCAACATCTCCACACGCTTATTTGTTGGGACATTTTGACGTCGAGGACTTGCTATCGTTGTCGGTATTGGTAAGTCTTTTTGTGCTCCTGGTGTTGACAAATTTGATTTCATCGATATCAATATTGATTCTGCTTCATGAATCAATTGTCTGTATTTAACATCCGCTTCTAAGTCAGCCTTAATTAGTGCCTTTTCACTCTCCGAGATTGCAAGCATCCTGTTGTGAATCATGTGAATTTCATTGAATGTTAATGAATTCGAACGATTTGATAATGAGGTCTCTAATTGCCGTCGTTCTGCTGTTCTCTCGTTTCGTCTTATTGAAACTGGTGTGCCACCAACTGATCGACATCCACGCGTCACCAAGGGTGATTTCATTATATTATTATTACTTTCTGTGTTCTTGCTACGTTTACGGACGAACTTCTTACGCTTTTTTTGTTGCTGTTGAGTTTCACAAACAATCTTCTTACTTGACATTGATTTCCCTTTAGACTTCTTATCGACATTCTGCTTGCTTTCCTTCTCACCAAAATCCACATCCAACAAATCATCTGTCGACTCACATTCATCACCTGCTTCCTGACCCAAGTCAGAAACGCAATCTGTACGGTCAGAATCACTGTTGATAGGAAAAAATAAATTAATTTTCGGTCATCAATCAAAACAAAAAAGTTTCAGTCATGGATGGAAAGCATACAGCCAGTGGGAATTTAAAAGCTATTTTTGTCACTGACAATGAAAAGCTTTACAAAGGATAAAAAAGACATCTTGACCTAATTTTCTTGATCCAGCTACAAATTAAATCTTATCCAGCATATATTCTTACCTTACAATGTCATTCTCCTTCTCATAAACATAACTTTCATCAAATTTTCCAATTTCATTTAATGTTGCATCATCATCACTTCCATCTTGTTGTGTTGTCGAGATTGAAATTGGTAGTTCCTTTTTGCTAGTGTTATTACTATTGTTATTGCCATATTTCTTACGAAAATCAGCAAGTGAAGCGATAGTCTTGCTCGGTTTTTCTGTCGAGCTACTCGAGTCAGAATCTGTTAAATGACCATTTACAATCTTCTTGTTCTTTTGTTCTTGCTCATTCGACTCATCACTATTCGATTTAATTCCAGATGATGATGTTGTTGAGCCAGTACTGTCTCTGTCTCGTTTCTGCTTAGAACTTGCATTACCATTTAGATTGTTATTAATTTTACTGTTATTACTATTATTATTATTAGTATTTCCTAGTTTTGAGTCGTTCGGCATGCTTAGCTCTGGATCGATATTTGAAAACCATGGATTTGTTCTGATCCGACATCGTTGTCTGGGTGATGGAGCTGTAAATAAATTAGACATGAAAGGATAATAAAATTAATTTGATGGTTAAATCATTTGCGAGTAAATTGACGTTGAAAAATTACACTCACTTCGGAATTGTGTGGCCATGATGACATTCTTTCGCAATACGGGACTCATTCCCGGACTGACACATGGCGGCATTACATTATTGCCACTTTTAATGCTTGTTGATGACGATGAGCATTGATAATGCTGACTCAGGGGAATCACATTTGCAGCTGTTTTGCTACAATCGAATGATTCCGTTCGTTTATGTGTATGGTGGCAGAATTGTGTCTGAAAAATGTTTTGTACAGGAAAATGTGAAAAGGAAAATAAATTTTATATCAGGTTGTGTGAGATGCAGACCGAGTTGTACATGATTATGATCTATTAAATTTTTATTGATTTTTTAAGCTTAGTTGTTGGATAGCTGGATAGTCTTTTTAGTAACCTAATGACGGATTCTCTGAGAGCATGTGCCACTCGGGCAAATGATAAAAATAGAATTATATCTTTATAACACAACGTTTCACTCCTTTATTCTATAAATCCATGTTTAACAAAATCTAGGTAAGAAAAATTGATGCCAACGACAGAGAATATTGTATCGTTCAATAAAGCTTGATTTTCTACAGCAAACATAAGTTGCTTTTATGTCACATATAGCTTCGATACATTTCCATTTGAAAAAAGATTTTTGGATCTTAAAAATGTTTTTCAGATCAAGACATTATTATGAAAGCAAACAGCAAACACTTTTATGTAAGATCTCAATTTTATCATGCTGCTCCGCTAATACAATCTATAAAATTTTTATCTCAAAAAATCCTTTAAGCAATTTTTCCATCATTTCAATTTCCCATAAGAGATTTTCAAAATGTTTACAAAAAAATGGATATAGCTTCTTCTGTTTTCGCATAAAAAGGGGTTAAATTGAGGTCTGCTCTACAAATTCCCATAAGATAATGAAAGTTTTACGTATTTTTCTATTATGAGTTCCAAATGTGCGAAATAACGATATAAAAATAATTTGGAATTTAAAAAGTTTAACATGATAGAGTCCAGTGGTACTCAACCTTTGTTTCACTAGTATCGCATATTTCTTTTAAGATTATTTCAATTGTTGATAAGATTTTCAAATATTCTTAGCATTTTTAAGTGTACCGTGACTCAACTTTTGTGAAGCTCTGGAATATTTACCTCATCGTTCTTCTCTTCTATGCGGTTGAGGTCCGATTTAAAGCGATTGTTTCCATAATCCAATATAGAATTTCCCTTTGGGAAATAATGAATTCCTGTACGTATGTTGATGTAATAGGAATCTGGTGAGTACGAGCATCCACCTGTAAAAGAAAATAAAACAATAAAAAAATTTCATTTCTTACAAGGAGGGTTGCCGGTGTTTTCTTTTAACTAAATGTGTGTTTTTTTGGATAGATGGAGAAGTTATGCCTACCACTATGCGTACAAAAAAATCGTTATGTTCACGAAACAAGGCGTGAGATAAGAAAAAGGCATGTACATACATATTCAATTACGGAATAAAATAAATAAATTTCAATGAGTTTTTCAATAAATGTTGTAATGTTCTTTGCATCTGCACGTTACTGTGCCTGTTCTATACAAATATTGCCACATTCAAGTGGGAATTACTGATGGAAAAACAAAGTTTTTTTATTCAAGTTTGAAGCTTTTTTTTAAGGATGGATTTTAAGGGTTACATGCTGTTTTTGGGATTGTTATAAAATTTGATTGAAACAAATTGCTTACAGGATTACAAATTTGTTCCTTAAAAACTTTTTTATTTCCTTTTAAAACTGTCAAAAGTGTTGGATATTAGTGACTAAGCCTAAAACTTTTCATGCTTACAATTACATTGATTTTCAGGAAATGTAAAAACATTCTCGTTGAGTTGGAGGAAGTGGTTTCCCGATAATGTCGATGCAATGTTTCTGATTTGATGAAGGCAAGTGTAGACTTGCCAAGATTTCATTCGTAGTTAAAGTTTTGAAGTTTTTGTTAACTTATGAAACTGAAACTTCAGCAAAACTAAAACTTAAAGTAGACAAGCATCTAAAGATTTATTTGAGCATGAATTGCAGATTTTATGTGCCGTGCCTTAAATATTTTAGGATGTCTAGTCAGGTTTTTAGAAATGTGATTAGATAAAGTTTTAGAAGATTATATTCAAATTTTTTTGATTCTATGCATTAAGTTTATGTAAAGTTCAAATAAAGATTTGATGCTAAGCTTTGCATCCTGAAAAGTGTCAACTAAAATATATAAAAGCAATCTTCACACAACAAGCATAATAAATCTCCATAATTCATATGATTTTCGCATGCCTCATAGTTATGTAATTTTCCATAATTTATTTGATTGAATATCTCTTCAAGCATCATCGCAGGCACACATTTCCTCTCCACGTTTTTGATGAAAAATTTATTCTTATAGAAAATCCTCAAAAAACATGCTCAACTTTTTTTATCTAGCATATCATCAAACATCAAAAAAGGGAGGGATAAAAAATAATGTTACGTCATCGTTCTTTCTCGCTTCACTGCTGCCTTTTTATTAATTTTCCAGATGCTTTTTACCAATTTGCCAATCATCATTATTGTTCGCACTTTGATAAGCATCACATCCATTTTTACTTTCAATCTTATTTTTTATCAGAAAGAAAGAAGAACAAAAATTCGATATTTAGCAACATCATCCTTTTCTGACTTATGAAACATTTATCTATTTACTCATACTTAGAGTTGCTGTAGCAACAAAGTACTTTTTAACAAAGTTGAAAGCAAAACGAGTTAAGCATCAAAGGAAGAAAAATCACAAAATAACAAGAAACTTCAAGAGGATGAAAAATTTCTTTCCCAATACGTGACTAAATTTTCGTATGTCTTGTGTACCTTTTTTTCTCATTCACCCTTCCACCTTTCACTTTCGGATCAGAAAAAAAGAGAATGGCATTTATGTAACAGTGACTATGATTTTACTGGAGGTAAAACATTGCTGCTATGTCTATTACTTAGATAACTGTATCTGTCTGCTTTCCTGCTATAGCAGAAATGTATCCTATAGTGGTTGTGGGGCTACAAATATACATAAATACAACCCCTCTTGTTCAAAAAAAAAAAATAGAACAGAATGCACTTTAAAGTCACATAATGTCCACATTTTATGCTAATTTAATTCTCCATCTATCCCCTTTAATAAAAATGATTTTCGAGGAACAATAAAAAAAATTGTCAAACGTGCTTTCCTACCTGGCGAATTTCCATCTGTCGAATAACCGGTTGAGTATGCACTTTCGGGTGATGAGACATGATTTATGACGTGATAGCCGAGCTTATTTTGGCCATTTTGTTGTTGCTGTTGTTGATGATGATGCACTTGTGTTGTGGACGATGGCTGAATATTTGGTGTGAGATGTTTCACTTGCTGCTGTTGTTGTTGTTGCTGATATTGATGATGAGGCGAGGAATGCAATTGTCTGTTGCTGCCGCCATACATCAATCCATTGGTGTTACTGTTATTTCCATTTCTATAGACTTGAACATTCGTGAGAGAATTATTGGATTGCGTTTTTAAATTCTGTAAATTTCCACTTCCAGTCCGGCTTCTCTCATTGATTTCATTATTATTTATAATTGAATTACAAGCCGGTCCATTTGACAGCATTTCGCTATCACAATTATTAATTTTTCTACTATAAAATCGTGCATCTTGCAACGTTGCCGATGCTGATGTTATGTTGGCACAAAAGTTATCACTAGTATTGCCATTGTATCGATCAATTGTTGACGTCGACGTAGCATTTGATGATGATGTATTTTTGCTCGAGAAGAATCGATATTTGTTCATGTATTTGTTAATCGGTTGAATCTTGCCATATTTGCTCTCCGAGTTTCCATTTTGCTTTCCACATCCAACATAGACGTTATTATTGTTAGACTCATTTTGATTTTTAATGATTGTTGTGGAATTAACTGACGAGGATGACGAACTAATTAAATATTTTGTCTTTGGATTGTTATCATCAAGTAGAAGGAGCTCATTAGATGAGCTGGTTGAATAATATAATGGCGGTGGATGAAGTAATGTTGTTGTATTGTTGTTATAATGAATTGAGTTATTGTTACTATTACTACTATTAATACTTGTTGTCGATTTACTGCTAGTTACAATGACTTGAGGATTATTTGATTGCATCATACTTTGATCGATTTCTTTCATTTGATAGAATGTTGTTGGTGCTGTAGTTAGATAATTTGTGGTTGTTACGGAATGAGTTCTATTGCTATTACTATTATTGTATTGATTTGTTTGTGTTACTGTTTTATTGGCACTATGTAATGATGAACCAGATTTTGTTGCCGTATTTGATGTTGATTTGATTACGGGTGGTGGGCAATCTAATTTCGATGTACTTGGTATTTCTTGATTAGGTGATTGCCATCCTTGCCGTCCATTCTATATATATAGTGTGTATGTGTGCGAGTTATAAATGAGAAAATAATTGAATAATTAATTTATTTTTTGTCTTTAATTAAGGTAATTAATTAAATATTAATGTGCTTTGTCTGCCATTAAGAAATTTATGGGATGTCTTGCCTTGACAGCATAAAAATAATCATCATTAAAGCTTGTTATAAGCTGATAATTTAACACATTAAACAGATTTTCAATAGCAAACGGTTGCTAATTGAAAGGATGTGTAAATGCTTATGGATCGATAATATCTGAATCTGCACAGTCCATTAGTAAGTCAAATTGTTTGAAGGCTTAATGATTAACACTATTTGAAAGACATATTGATATGAAATTAAGTTCATTCTTAATTTTTCATGAAATCAGTAAAATAATAAAACTAGGAATAATGAAGATGATCACGATTCAGCTTTAGCAGCAATAAATCATTTGAAATCTATCATAACACTGATTTTAAAGCCAAAATTGCAGAAATCTTCAAATCTCTCAAATTAAGGAAAAAAAAATTCAATCCATAATGAATCAAGTAATGAGATGCTTAAAGATTTGAGGCAGATGTAAGATTCAGAAGAGATTTTCGTAACATAAAATCCAATTGAATTAAGGACGATGGAGAATATTTCAATATGAATCGGAAAAAGGAGAATTTGGAAATGCTTTTCATTGAGTAAATTGAAGCTTTCATGATGAAAATTTTTATTTGAATGTTTTGCAGATTTATTTCTATAAAGCTCACGTCCTTAAAGATCTAATGGACTAGCCATGACTGAAATTTTCCATGACAAATTTATAAATTGAAGCTATGAAGTAAGTTGAAAAACTTTTTCTACAATTTTAATCAATTACTTTCAATATTAAATCAATTACTATAAAAAAAATCCAATAAAGCTATTGCAACGAAGATGGAACAACCAACTTTATTTATTTACTTTTTCTCTCGATAGTCGACAAAATTTAACAAGCGTCTGCTTCCATTCAATCTGCATTTAAACATATTATCAACATACTGATGGAAAGGAATGCTTTCTCATAGTATCCATACACAGTCCATAAATATAAAGCACTGTTTGTACGTTTCACTCCGTAATATTCATGAGTCGTTTGAGAGCAATTCACAAATAACGTTGTCATAAAAATAAAGGCAGAGGAATGCAAAAGAAGGAAAATAAAACTGAAAGCACTCACTCAATGAACCTTAATGTGATTATGGCTCTCTTTCTCATTCTTTTTTTTTCTTTGAATGCCCGATTACAATTTCCCTCACTTTTCTCTTATGTTCCTGTACTAGTGCACTAGCTCGTTGAGAATGAATGTTAATGCAAGCTTTTTAAAAGCTTCAATCTTGATGGAGACACTTGGAATAATACATTATGTCGATAGACATTTAAATAAATTCTAGGATATTTTTTAGATGGATCATTTAAAGAACCTATGACATTCTGAGTCTGTCAGGTCATCAAATATACTTAATAATTCCAGAAAAATACTAGAACTTATCCAACTTGAAGTCCATAATTCTAAAAAAATGTCTATGTCCAATCTAAAATCCACACCAATTTCACTAATGTATCATAAACACACAAGTAACTAGAACTATAGCCATAATTTCCCTTTAATCTACTAATAGAAAAAAAAAATCGAATGGTTTGATGGAAAGATGAAAAACGATAAAAAGAAATTATGTAGTGAAACAGAACAATAAATCAGTAAATGATAATGATCGGGTCATTGTTGAAAATGAAATGAGTAAGGATTATTCACATTCCTACGGCGAGTCACTATAGAAAGACATATCACATGTAGAAAAGACATTTGGCCTTTGAATCGTTCATTTATTTTGATTACTTGGTCACCACTATACTATTACTTCCGTTTTATCACTTTGCACATAAAGATAAAATTATTTTATATTCCACATATTTTTTTTTGGGTTCATACTTACGTGATATTGAATAGGTGAAACTTCACTTCGCCTTGCTGGACTTGAAATGTTGTTTCCTTCATTCTGATAAACGGCACTTTTATAATCATTTGATGAATGCTGCGATGAACTGCAAGTATCGTAATTTTCCGACAATGTCAGCGTTATTTTCGGTTCGTATTTTATTTTCAGCGATTTGATAAAATGCGTGTGCACATGCGAGATGTTTCCAGTCGAATGAAACGAGAGCAGAAAGGAAGGAAAGAAAAATTGTTAGAGGAAAAGAGAAGAAAAAAAAAATCAGAAACATAAGAAAATTTTATTTTTTTTTTACTTCTACATAGAACAACAGCACAGAAAAAAGAAAGTTTTTCAAGTGTAAAGAAGAAAAAAAAAAAATAAAAAACGAATATAATTTACTCGATTTGATGCCAGTGGCAATGGAAGTACTAAAGTAAAAATTAAAAATTTATTTAGGTCGCTCCTTTATTTTTACATAGTGTGTAAATCAACACGTTAAATTAATTTATTTTAATAAAAACAATTTTCAACACAAAATAAATCTCAAAAATTTTAATTTCAATATTTTCAGCCCCAAAAAATAATATTTTATTCTCGTCTCTATTATTTTCATTATCTCAGTCGATATTTTGTAAATTGTAAAGCACAAAACTTTTTCTTTTCAATTTACAACTTCATTTTTCTCAAACCGTCGCCACTGGCAATGCGATAGATCTGAGAGATGAAAAATATTCTTTTTATTCTCATTTTCTACTCCAAGAGAATCTCCCCTTTTCAGAACAGAATAAACACAATAAGTTAAACGGATACAGCGGAGTTTTGTGGGGATATGTTGCGCATTTTTTTGGAGAGGAATTTATGGCTTGTATGGAGAACAGCGGGATTGATATTGAATTTATGAGTAGCATTGTTGCTTTTTTTCCATTGACAAAATTCATTTCATGTCCAAAAGAATTGGCAATAAATATCCCCAAATACACCCTCAGTTCTATTAAAAATTACGACATGTAATATGCAATAAATTGGACATCTCATTAAAAACTTTTCTCTTAATGTGTAACAAGTACTTAAAGTGCAATCAAATTCATTCCGAAACTCTTTCTATCTCCTATAATTTTTTTTTTGGATGGGATCCAAAATCATTATTAAACTTTACCCTCAATTTTACTTTTCACATTGAAATAATAATATTTTTAAAAATTATTTCTGTCTATAAAGTTCTTCTTCATAATGTCGAGCATATTTTTATCAACTCAAGTGTCCAATAAATTTCAATTCCCATTCCTGTATACTTTGTTGTAAGTAGATGGAAATAGGACAAATTGCAAATTCTTTCGCATCATTGTAATAACAGAAACATAAAGTAAAACTTCATAATCTCCTAAAATAAAAATCTGCTTTGAGCACAATACATTAGATATCAGGAAAAAGAAATAATTTCAAGCAGCAGAGAGAAACAAAAGGATAAATAGCTTGAATGAATGAATGGAGGCACATAATATTTTATTTATTCAATGAAGTATCCAATGTATATGTGCTGAAGATTTTGAGAATGAATGAAGATGCTGCTGATGCTTTCCTTTTTAGGTTTGATTATTGTTATTACTGTTGTTATTTTTATGAGGTGCTTCTCATATACACAGATGAAGTAATAGACTTGCCAAAGCTTTTTTTTTCTTTTGCAAGAAATAAGCAATCTTCTTCTTCATCCTGCTTTTTGCTGTTTAACCAAGACAAAGTAAACTGCTGTTATTGTTGTCATAGTCATCTACATTGTTCTTGTAAGGAAATATTCTTCTCTTATTTTTATTATTGTCATTTGAGATGAGAAAACGACGTCTTTTGTTATACATTTTTTATTTGACTGTACAAACGAATACAAAAACAGGAAGAGAACGGACCACCATCAAAAAATATACCCCTAATCTCAAAGACAGCAAGAATGAAATGCGCATAATATGCCTTCATGAAAATTAAATATTTTTCACCGGAGACTCATATCTTGAAGTAACTGTACCATTGGATCTCCCATAACTATCATCTTTGTATATATAACTATAAGAAAATTGATAAGTAAAAGTTGAAGAAAGGAAGTTGATGATTACAAGATGTGAACTTCAGAGGTTACGTTGAAATCAAGGTCTTTTTTTGGAGTCGTTTGGATATTAAGAAAATTGTAGTATCTATCTCTCGGATTTGTCAACAGCCCCAAAGGTCATTTTGAATTTAGTTTATCAGTTTAGAATCTTGAAAAAAAGTAAGTTGACCTCGAAATATTTAATCTGATAATTAGAATCAACGAATCAAAAAGGTTCAAAAGTCCAGCCCGGAAGCTTTAAAGTGTTAAAAAACTTCAAAGGATTCTATGCTTATGCTTCAGTTACTTACATTTTCTTATTTACAATCCACCACTTTAACAATACTTGATGCAATGCGGGGCACACACAATCATCATTGTCACGCGAAGGCTATTTTTTATCCCGTACATGTATATTGTCCAATATTGTCGAGAGATACAAGAAAAAAGTATAAAGCATCATCTTAATTAAAGATGACAATGAAAAAAGGGTCCAAGAAGATAATAAGAGTAAAAGACGAAATGATAGAGCATAAAACAGCAAATTAGATAATTCTCTCTCTCTCCTTTTTGGATACTTCTCACATCCACATTTTTATCTTTATTCGAAAAGGATAGTCTTACTTGATACACATCGCAACCAAAAGAGGAAAAAGCATGAATGTCATTATCATCATCTTACGATAAATTAGTGAACTGGATTACATTTTTAATTAAAAAAGTATGAAACAACCGTTCAGGCAAGTTTTCCTTTTTTTCAGGACAGCATTTTCTCCCTACCCTGGTTGATGCTCTTTGGTGCCCTCAAGAAACATTAAAAGGATTTCACAACGTGATGTGATGATGGAAACTTTTCACTGTTCTTTCTTTTTTCTCTTCAATGAAATACGATGAACTTTAAAAGTAAGAAAAAGAGTAAGAAAATAGGATGAGGAATGGAAAAGTTTCATCCATTGTGTTCGCATAATTTTGCATTTTTATGGAATAAGAAAAACTTTTAAGAAAAATTTCAACACATTTCCTTAGAAAAATCAGTTTGTTGAATAATATTCTATTAAATTGTGATTCAAATAGTATCAAGCAAGTGTTCATGTTAACATGTAAGTTGAAACTTATATTCAAATTAATCCTCATGTTTGAGAATCAAGAAGTAAAATAGTAAGAATGTTATTTATGGATTTTTTCAGTTGAAACGCATTTTGATGCTTTACAGAAGGATTTAATCTTGAGGAGCATAGTTTTGAAAGTTTTGTAATTACCCTGGTTTCTAATCACCTAGCCACCCAACACAACCAAATACAATATAGCAACAACCATTCCAAAGAATGCTCACACAAATAAAAGAGTAAAACTGAATAGAAGGAGAAGAAGAAGGTAAGGCGTGAAATATCTCATGAATAAATTTTCATATTAACAGACGTATCTCATTCTTTCCAACTTCTTACTTTTCTAAATCCGTTTATTTAGAAATTTTCTCAGATTATATCATTCTCATAGTGTTGGAGGAAATTAAAGCTAGAATAAGGAATGATTTAAACGATATAATGAGATTTATTTGAAACTTGATGCCATTTGTTGAATTATCGAATGAGCAAGTCTTCATCTTGTGAAATCGATAAGATAATTTCAAACATTACTGCTCAATTTATCTATTAGAATGAAATATTTACGATACTTAGTAGATCTTAGGTCTGTTTCTTTTATTGAGGGTTACAGTTTACATAAAATTACTTTCAAGTGTTCAGAAAGTTCCTTAAATCGATATGTTAAAAAATTCCGTACACATTCCTATAAATGTGAGCATTTTTTCAAATAAGACACAAATTTCTAGTCGCATACCCTATTATACCGTATCTAGATCATTAAAGAAAATACCAAACTTTTGTCATATTGTATTTTTGCTCTCTGATAAAATTAAATCCTTCTTCTACCAACCCTCCCTGGGTCGTTCTTCTTCATACAATTAAATTAAAATTCAAAAAATATTCTATTTCCAATAAAAAAGAAAGAAAACACATTTTGGAAAGGTGTTGATGAGATGTGGGATGACTTTTTTTTTGTGGAAGTAGAAAGATACAATGATAATTCCTTTTTGTTTTTATAGCAATTTATTGATCAATTCTTGGACAATTTTTATCAATGCTTTTAAGTTTTGAGCCCTTTTTATTGAATTTTTTTTCTCCGTCTAACTCGACCTTTTTTCTCTCTGCTGTATATAGACTGCGGTGTTCAATGTGGACATTTGTATGCCATCAGTTCTTTTTTCATATAAAAACCCACAAATTTTCCACTCAAATTGCTTTGCAAGAAAAAGAATTTTCCACTTTTCAAAAAGTTTTCAATTTTTTTTCTCGGTGCCATTAAAGAACACATTTTTCTCTTCACTTTTCTTTTAGTGGTTGTCTCTAAAGGGAAGTGTGCTATTGACCATAAATTGTTTAATCTTGTACAAATAGATTCATTTATTATTTCGTCTGTCTGACCAAATGCCGTGACATATTTGATTGCTTTAGTTGAGAGGCTTAGTAGACGATGTATGGCAGCAATATTAATAGCTGTTGGTCTATTTATAGGTGACTTTTAATTGTTTTCTTTAAGGCATGGGTTGTTTTAGAGAATTTTAAGCAGTAAACTTTACAAATTTCCAATTTGATAGATTTTAAAACCTTTACAGATACCAAAACAACTATCACTTCACTATTGGTTTTGCTGCCAACAGCTTCTGTTAGAAAAAAGGCTCCTAGAAATTCACTTTTGATCCTTGTAAACCCTTTAAACTATAATATTGATTTTCTGAGGCATTGAAGTGAATAACTTCAGTTAAATTTACGTCAGGATGTTCTTACAAAATCAGAAGCAACAATTTCCAAGAAGTAAGAATTTTAGAAATCCCACTCAGAAGAATATTTACAGGAAAAAAGAAAATGCGCCAAAAATCACCCTCTTTATCTTGTACAGCTTCAATTCCTTTTTATGCTGACAAAAATGTGAAAATATTTTTGCTAAAAAGAAAATTCTTTGAAACATAAAAG